GACAGAAACTTTACCGTCAGAGCTGCCTGGAAGCCCAGAGTTCCATGGAATCAAATACTTTGACAATGTTGCCCAGCCATCACTGCCACGCCCCTCTAGAACTTTCTCTTCAGAGAACAATCAGCACCGTTTGAGCTCTATCCATTTCTTTCCCCCTTCCAGCCTGACACCCACCTTCTACTACAGCTGATTTGGCTGCTGTTAAGTACCCAGCTTCCAAAAGTATTTGTCTTCTCATGGCTGGGTTACTTCCCTCAGGCTGAGATCCTCTGTGCTGGCACAGGTTGTGACATTCTTGATCACAGATGCACCTGCTTGCCTGGCTCTTCATGCCTCAGTGGACTCTCATTGCAACAGTGTTGTGAGCAGTCTCTTCGTACAAACCTCTCCTGGTGACCCCTAACATCCTTCCACGAAGGGAGTGGAAGAACAGATCCCCCCCCCATACTGCTATTTTAGCAACGTGACAACTCCTGTGTGCCACAGCAGTCGCGCCATCTCAGGCTCTACATGCCCGAATTCCTCCACATGTGCTCTGTGTCAGTGTTTTCATATCAGCTCATCCAATGGTGTCAGGTGCTCTTTCATTGCAAGTTTTTGTTACATCTCCCTAAGGGGCACTCTTGTGTGTGTTCATTATGGCCGATCGGACATCACATGAGGAAAATGCCCAAGTCCTTTACCCACTTATTCCACGTGTTGTTTCTGTGTTGTTGAGTGTGCTGTATATTATGGATCTACACAAATCTCTTATGAGATCAATGATTTCCTGAGGGCCTGGTATGGTGGCCTAGTGGCTAAAGTCCTCACCTTGGATGCACTGTGATCCCATATGGGTGCCAGTTCTAATCCCGGCAGCCCCACTTTCCATCCAGCTCCCTGCTTGTGGTCTGGGAAAGCAGTGGAGGATGGCCCAAAGCCTTGGGACCCTGCATCCATGTGGGAGATCCGGAAGAAGCTCCTGGCTCCTGGATTTGGATAAGCTCAGCTCCGGCCATTGCAGTCACTTGGGGAGTGAATCATTGGACGGAAGATCTTCCTCTCTGTCTCTCCTTCTCTCTCTCTATATATATATATCTGATTTTGCAATTTAAAATATCTTTAAAAAAAATCAATGATTTGCAAGTAGTCTTTTTATTCTGTTGATAGTGTGTTTGATGCACAAACTTGAACATTTTTCCATGTAGCCCGATGGGTATAATTTTCTCTGTTGTTGTTTGTGCATTCTGTGTCATCTCTGAGAAATTAACACCAAATCCCACGTCATGGAGGTTTGCCCTCTGTTAGCCTAAAAGTTTCACATCTGACATTTAGCTCTTTGATCTGATTCAAGCGACTTTTGCACATCATACTTTTCCACACGGCTACCCAGTTTTCTCAGCATCATTTGCAGAAAAAATTATTTTCCCTGCATTGAGTGATTTCAGCACTTTCACCGAAGACCATTTGGTGGGGGCTTGTGCTGTGGCATAACAGATAAAGCCACTGCATGTGGCACTGGCATCCCATATGGGCAGTGGTTCGAGTCCCAACTGCTCTACTTCTGATGCAGTTCTCTGCTTTGCTTATGACCTGCAAAAACAGCAGAGGGTAGCTCAAATCCTTGGGCTTCTGCACCCATGTGGAAGTTCTAGAAGAAGCTGCAGGCTCCTGGGCTTGGACAGGCCCAGCTCTGACCATTGCAGCCTTTTGGGGAGTGGGGAAGCTCTCCTACGCCTCTCCCTTTCTCTCTCAAATCATTTGGTCACAAAGGCAGGCTCCCTCCTCCATCCGTGTGGTCTGTGTGGCTTTGGGCTGGTATCAGACTGTCTCGGTTGCTTGACTGCCTTCTAGCTAACTATACATGCTCTGGGACCACAATGTCCAAACATCTGTTGGGGATTGCTTTGTGTAAGGGTATGAATGAGGACTTGTGGAATTCTCTGCTTTTGCCTTCACAGGGGTGCTGGGTGTAAGCATCTATACCCAATGCTCTGTCACTCCTCGTGGTGACCGGCTTCGAGGGGTGTTGTCATTCTGGAGTGTGAGTTCACGGGGCCCCAGGGTCTCTGGGAGAACTCTGTGTGGCCTGACAGGCATGACCCTCCAGGGAGGGCTGCTTTGCTCTTGGCACATGTCCTGAGGTGTCATTGGCTCCAGACAATAATTATTACTAATTTCTAGAGAGTTCTAGGACCACGTGCATACCATAAGCCCGATGTCAGATTGGGCAGGCAGGTCTACAGGGAGAATTCTGTTTCCTTTTCCGAGTAGAGTCAGAAATGATCTGGACAACTCTCTGACGTCTCCCTTTGCAAAACAACGATTTTTTTCCTGTTGGTTTTTTTTCACCCAGCCAACTGCTTCACCTTAACAGGCTATTCCTCAAGAAAACAGCATGGGACAGGAAAGGCGGGGGTGGGAGTGGGCAAGGGCCTGGATGGGGCCCCACGCAGCTTCCCAGGGGGCTCTGAGGGTGCTGGGAGCAGCCCACTGCGAGCTGACTTGGGCAGCATGAGGCCTCCTCAGCAGTGGTGACCAGAAGCACCAGAGTGGAAGAAAACTCGCTCCACCAGGGGCGGCTCACCTGCTGCAGGGTGTCCCAGACTGAACCCACCTGCTCCCTTCTCTGCCTAGGCTGCCTCCCTCCACCAGCTACCCCGCCTGCCAACAATGCCCACCCCTGCACCCTGCTGTTTTTTTTTTTTTTTTTTAAGATTTATTTATTTTTATTGCAAAGTCAGATATACAGAGAGGAGGAGAGACAGAGAGGAAGATCTTTCGTCTGATGATTCACTTCCCAAGTGACCACAGCAGACGGTGCTGCACTGATCTGAAGCCAGGAGCCAGGAATTTCCTCTAGGTCTCCCACACAGGTGCAGGACCCCAAGGCTATGGGCCGTCCTCCACTGCTTTCCCAGGCCACAAGCAGGGAGCTGGATGGGAAACAGTGCTGCTGAGATTAGAACCGGCATCCATATGGAATCCCAGCATGTTCAAGGCGGGGACTTCAGCTGCTAGGTCACTGCGCTGGGCCCTCCCTGATGTTTTCAGGAAGCTTCTTTCACATTCTCAAAGGTGACTCCTGATCATGGCAGCTTCCTGGCATCTTAGTGCTGTCCGTGCCTTGTCACCCCTCTGAAGGGCATGACAGGTGGCACGCGGAAGCAGTCTTTGTCCACAGTTTCCCTGGCAGGGCCTGGCTCTGCTTGGCCTCTTCCTGTGCGACCAGTCATGAGGCCTTGTCAAGTGCTAGCTCTCCATCAGAAGCCAGTAGCCAGTAGCCAGCGCAGACAGGGTGGGAAGCTGGCACACAGCTCGCATCTGCTCCAGAGAGGGCTCAGTGAAATGAAAGCTTCATTTATGTCTATGAAAGGCAGTGATGAGGAGGGAGAGACAGAACAAACCTCCATCCATTGGTTTACTTCCCCAAATGACTGCATTAGCCAGGGCCAAGGCTGGGCCAGGTCAGGAGTCAGGAACTACTTCTGGGTCTCCCAGGCACATGGGCCACTTTCCAGTGTCTTCCCAGGTGCGCTGGCAGGGAGCTGCGTGGGCAGCGGGGCAGCCAGCACTCTGTGAGCATCCCAAGTGGGTGCCACAGGAGCCCCCTGGCTCAGCATTGGTGCAGCTCCTCTGACCCCACCTCGCTCTGACCCACACCTGCCTCCAAAGGGTGTCCTTACCTGCTCTGAGCCCTTGGGTTTGCCAGGCACCTGGCAGGGACAAAAAAGTCGTGAAACCTTCAGCTTTTACCAAATAGCCAAGTAACTTTTGCAGGGTCGGCCTCCCCTATCCCAGCCCTGTCCCACTCCCCTCACAGACTCCAAATCCTGGGAAGAGCCCAGGAGAGGGGCAAGGGGAGACTCCACCCAGCAGAGGGCCCTTATGTGACCCTGCCCCATCTCAGTGTGGCTGTGGGCGAAGTCCACGCGTGGGGACAGGTCTGTGCTTCCTGCCCTCAGCACAGGGCGTCCCACTGTTCCCAGGATGCTGCCTGGGTCGTGAGCAGACAGAGCTGCTTGGTGACAGTGTGACCCATGACCCAGGACAGAAATGACTGATTCTGGGACACACCTGCCTCCAAAGGGTGTCCTTACCTACTCTGAGCCCTTGGGTTTGCCAGGCACCAGTGAGGGCACCCCACCACTGGGCACTGAGCAGGTACACTGACATATCTTGGTGTTCAAAACTTTGCGTGCTGAATGTGGACTTTCTGGGAGGGCACAGAGGCAGGTGCTGGAGAAAGGAGGTGGTGGCTGGTGGCTGGGACACAGAGCCAGAAAGCGCTGGCTGCAGATGCCTGGGCTGCACCCTGAAGTCGATGTTGCACTGGAGCTCCTCTCTCCTGCCTGTCCTGCTCCAGCAGCTCCTGTCACCTCATCTCGGCAGGGAGAAGCTCCCATCTGAGCTGCTGGCCTCTGTCACTGGTGGTGCAAGGACAGCAGGTGGGATGTGCTGGAGTCCCATTTGGGAGCCACTCAGATGGAGCTTGGTGATAGAGATGGCTCAGGAACCTACTGGACACGAGGAGCCAAGCGGGAGGCAAGAGCAGGGCTCAGACATGGCAGTGGCTCCTGGGGTGGGAGCGTTAGGGAACAGGCAAGCCGGGTGGCAGATGGTGAGGTGAGGGGAAGGGGGCCTTACAATGTAGGGGTGAAGAGACTGGCAAAGGCAGGGAGGGTCAGGGTGCCAGGAAAGCAAGTGGCAGGCCTACGGGGTGGCATGGGGGCTGCTGCTTTGTCTTTTCCCCCACCCCCAGGACCCAGACTTTAACAGGGATTGAGTGTGTGTATGTCACCGTGGGAAGCCTGAGAGGGCAGTCACCCACTCTGGTGGTGTGGGGAGGAGGGCTCTGGCCTTGCTGGCTCCTCGCTCTCAACAGGAGCCACCATTCCCACTCTTGCTCTCCCAGTTGCCCAGCACCCCAACACCCCAGCAGGGCAGGGCAGGCTTCTCTCCCTGTGATCGCTGGTCAGTGGTCGTGGAAATAAGGCACATCCATTTGCCAGGCACCAGCCTTTGCTTCGGAATGTGACAATTTATTTGGGGGATGGGTAAAAGAAATTCGCCCCCTTTCCTGGCATGGATACAATACTGAAGAGTAGAACAAAACATACGAGACAGATCCGCATGACCGACCCTCCCCTGGCCCTCAACCCACGGGAGCCTGGCACAGGGGCAGGGCAGAGGGGCTGTGCCCCCGTTCTGTTCCTTGCCAGCCCTGTGGTTCCCGGAAGCAAGGTGGCCCAGCCGGGAGCTGGGCGGCTGACCCACAGACAGCACTGCATTTAAGAGAAAAAGAGAGAGAAAGACAGCGCCCCTCCCCCAATATAGAGCTATCTATGTATACTTTATATATAAGAATCCATCCGTGCAGTTCATTAAATGAGCTTTTCAAAAATTAGAAAAAAAAAACTTATAAGATACATATTTCTTTAGGCCTTTGTGTTTTTTAAATTAAAACCAACAAAATGAGGTTTCCACCTGCACTCGGCCAAGGCCAGGGCCAGAACTTGGAGTTCTTCCACATGGCCTCTCAGACCACTGCCCCTTCCCCTCCTCCTAGCTGATGCTCTGCATACAGTAGGCGCTTAGGGGTGCTGACCCCTGCAAGGCCAGGGGTGGGCTTGCCATCTGCCCCAACCAGCTTTCTCCTCACGTCTGCCGTGCGCATGACATGAGCTTTCTGCGTCCAAGGGGAGCTACAAATGCAAACAAAACTCAAAACTTGAAAACGCCTTCCTCTGGTCTGAAAAAAAGTGACCCCTGAAACCTCATGAGCCACCACTGTCCCTCCGCTCCCCTGGGGGCCACCTTGGGCTGGGTCCCACCAGAGAAGGCTCCACTTGCTGCCCGGCATGGGCGAAGTGCAACAAAACCACACACAGAAGTGGGACATGGAGCCCGTCCTTCTAGCATCCCGGAGAGGTCAGAGGGATGGCCCAGGTCCTGCTTGGAGCAGGGGCACCCTGTTGCAGGGGAAGGGGTGGTATCAGTTCAACAGCCTGGTGCTGGCTCCAGGGCCCCCACGCCACCCTAGTGAGGCAGCCTTGCTTCTCACAACCCCATTTCCTCCTTTTTAGGCTGGGGATGAGAATACAGAGGAAGCCACCCACCAGCAGGTGCACAGACTGGGCAGTGGCTCCAACGTCACTACTCAACATGCCCATTTCACAGAAGGCCACCCCAGGGGCCAGAGTGTGGGAAGGAGACAGGACGCACCCCAAACTTTCCATTTTGAACCCCCCAAAACCCCAGGCCTCACCTCTTTCCTATGACATGTGTGTGTTGCGGGGAGCCCCATCCCATACTGAACACGGGAGATTGGGTTTTGGGGCAGCCACGTCACATACAAAAAATAAAGCGAACCAGAATGCAATTTCTGCTGGATAAGTAGGCAAATGTAAAAGCAGCAGGGGTGGAGGAGGGGCCCTGGGAGGCCGACTGTGCAGGCAGGGGTGCGGTTGGACCCCTTTGAGCAGCCTGGGGCAGTGTGCAGGCAGCGGTGGGGGAGGCGCCCTCCAGCCCCGAATCAGGATGGGCGTTCTGCTCAAGTGTCCTCCTGGCCAGGGCAGCGTGGGATGTCTTTGGGGGTGGTGGGGAGGGAGCCGCTCCCCACAGGGCAGGGTTGAGGAGGCCAGAGCAACCTGCCCCTGCAGTGTCTGCCTCGCTCACTCGCTCCTCCCCTCCCTTTGAGCAAGGCTAGGCAGTGGGAGGCTGGACCACATCGGTCCCCATAGGGCCCCCGCCAAGTAAGCCCAGGCCCCCAGACACCCCCACACTGCCCCTCACCTGTGCAATCACTGCGTTACTATTTTTTTCTTTAAATATCTTTCTCCCCATCCCACCCCCCACCCCACTAGGAATACCAGGATTTTTTTTTCTATTTCTTTTTTTTTCCCCTCTTTTTTTTGCAAAACTAATTCTTTCACTTTCCTGTCATAAAATCACCTCTGAAAACACAACTCTTTACAAAAGAAGTCACGAATGACACAGACTCTCGGAAAACACATGTCCACGGTCTCTGGCAATGCCTGGAACTAGTACCCAGGCGGGCACACCCCCGGAGGGGGTCAGGGGAGATTGCCTATGGGCACGGAGCAGAAATACCAGCCCTTTTTGGGGAAAAAGCCGATTGGCACTTGGACGGACACAAAACCAACACACAGGCGGGGTGGGGCAGGACGGGACCTGGGAATGCAGTCCCCTCTCGCCTGCCAGGGACCCCGGGACCACTGCCTGGGGTGGGTGGGCCTGGTCACAGCAGGCTACAGCCCCTACAGGAAGGGTCAGGGGAAACTGCCCAACCCTCCTCAGACCAAAGGCGCCTGCCACCTGCTCGGACCCCCCTGCTGCTTCCTCCTGTGTCACCCACCGCACGGAGGTGCCAAGGGCTGCTGGTAGAGGGAAGCTGGCTCCAGCCATGCCCAGCAGAGACCAGGCCATCTCCTGATGCCCACCCTGAGGCTGGGACCCCCCGCTGCTTCCTCCTGTGTCACCCACTGCACGGAGGTGCCAAGGGCTGCTGGTAGAGGGAAGCTGGCTCCAGCCATGCCCAGCAGAGACCAGGCCATCTTCTGATACCGGCCCTGTGGCTGGGGCCCCTGGCAGCACAGAGGGTTACAGAAGCTGCCTGGGGTGGCCGCGACCCCCGCTGCTCTGAGCAGGTTGGGTTACGAGGAAAGCTGTGGTCAGAAGCAGAATAGCAGGTAGAAGATGCTGGAGACCCTTGGGGGACCATTTCCCAGACTCCCGCAAATGCTCAGGGGCCAAGGGAGGCTAACAATGAGGGGTCTCCCCTCTCAGCTCAGCCCCCACCATACTGTCTACAAAAAAGGCCTGACTGGTTAGGCTGACCAGCGGTGGCATGGGCAAGGGTGGTGTTGGGAACACAATACACGATGCCCCCAGCACATCTGGGCAGGATGTCCCTCCCCTCCGCAGTGAACTGCCTAGACCTAAGCCAGGCCGAGGTGCCAGAAGGGCCAGGCCTCCCCTAGGCCTGTTCTGAGGAACCAGCACACTTGGGGACCCCACATGCACACACCAGACACACACACACAGCCAGACGTATCCCAGCAAGTTCTTGTAGCACCTTTGGTCAAGCATGCGGGGCCTTAGATGCTGAGCCACCACGGCTTCCACCCTGTTCTCACCCAGAGCCAGCAGCTTGGACCCCTCCCCTTCAGAGGACCTCGCTGCTGAAGAGGGAGGGGGCCTGCCTCCCTCCCCCTGCCTCCAGGGGGCTTTGCCTGTTCTGGCCATGCACCTGCAGGGAGGCAGGGACCACGCCCACCCTGGGTGGGATTGCCTATGGGCCCCCCAAGACTGCCGGCTTAGCACCATAAAGCAGATGCTGTACAGGGGTGCAGAAAGCAAGCTGGTGGGGCGGGGGAGAAACAGGCAGGATGTGGAAGCAGCAGGTGAGTCCTAAAACCTGGGGCTTCCCCGAGACCACCAGGCAGGCCTGCTGCGCATGGGCAGGGGTGGTCCCAAGAGGGCGCACTTCAGGCACCCCCCCCCCAAGCTCTGCCTCAGTCCTCAGGCGGCACCCACCCACTGGCTATTGTGGGGCTCCCCGCGCCCAGTCCCGCCCCTAGGTGAACATTGAGCCACTTGAAACAAGCAAAGCACAGGCAAAACAGGGCTGAGGGCAGGGCCGGGAGGGTGGGAGCAAGAGCGGCTTGAGGCAGGAGGGCGCTCCCACAGCCCCCCTCCTTGGGGGAGCCCCCTCACTTGCTCACTCCTGCCGCAGCAGCTCCCACCCCCGCAGCCACCTTCTCGAAATCCTCCGGGTTGCAGAACTCCTTGATGGTGACCGTCAGCAGGTTGCTGGTGACGTCGGTGACCACGACGTTGGAGCAGGGCGACATCTCCGGGCGCCAGTCCCCAGCCTCGGGCTCAGGGGCCGCAGGAAGGGCCTGGCCGGCAGCAGCAGTGACCTCGGCGGGCACGCGTTTGCTGGCCGCCGCCGCCTCAGGAGGGAGGGACAGGTCGAGCACCCCGGGCTCACGCCAGTCAGGCGCAGGGGAGCTGAGGGTTTCGGGGAGCAGCTTGGGGGGCACATCGTCGGGGTCGGAGGAGGACTGAGGTGTGCAGCTACGGGCATCATAGGGGGCGGCCAGGAGCAGCCCCGGGCTGGGGGAGGCGGCAGTGGCGGCGGTACCATCGCCCTTGCCGGTGGACTGGGGCGCCAGTGGGGTAGGTGGGGGCTTGTAGAGAGCAAAGGCGCCGAACTTGACATGGCGGAGCTGCGTGCGCAGGATGCTCTCGCTGAACTTCTTGCTCTTGCCAATGACTCGGTTCCTGGATGGTACCTTGGGGCGCGCCAGCGCCCCAGTGCCCTGGCCCGCGCCCCCGCCGCCCGGGCCCTTGTCTATCACCTTCAGGTTCAGGATGACTCGGCTGCGTTTGGGCTCTCGCGGCTTCACCTTGCGGTTGATGATGCGCACGGTCTCGGAGAAGGGCGAGATGGGCGGGCGCAGGCCGGGGCTGCCTCCCTGCGGGTCGGGCCGGGGCAGGGGGCGGCGGGACATGCGATGGCAGCGGCGGATGTCCTTCTTGAGGCGGTGCACGGCGGCGCTCGAGTGCAGCTTGGGCGACGAGGCGCTGGCGCTCGGCTTGACAGAGAAATGCACATCACTGATGCGGAGGGCCTCGGCCTGGGCCCGGGCCTGCGGGCAGAGCGGGCGGTGGGTGGGACCTCCGGGCTTCCCGCTAGCTCCTCCGGACCCCTGGGCCAGCCACCCCTGGTGTGGTCTCAGCAAGCAGGTAAGACCGTCCACAGCACCTGTGACCCCTCGCAAGGAGATGTTGGAAACCAGGAAAGAGGTCGGGGGGAGATGAAGCAACTTGGGTGAGGTCAAAGTGGAGACCCAGTCTTTTCCCCACCACCTGCCACCTTGGCCGCTTGGCCATCGACACAGGGGGACAGAGATGGCCAGGGCTGTCCCTGCTGATGCAGACCAGTGTCAATGGTTGGGACACCATGTGGTCAGTGGCTATCTAAAAAGCTATGGCTCAAGCCGTCCTTGGCACCCCCTGTCCCTCTGGCCACTCTGCAGTGACAGCGAGGCCTGAGAGCTCTCCTGCAGCCCCCAATCCCCCTAGGCAGACCTTCAGGCCCCAGAGTCCCTCCCAGGTATGCCTCTGCGTGTCCAGGATCCAGCTCAGAATGCAGGCTTGTGAGGAGGGTTTGGTGGGCGCACCCCCTACTCTGGGCTGAGTTGTAGGGCTTTCTAAGGCCCAGGGTTCTGCAGTGGCTCGCTCTGATGCAGGACATGGCCTGCTCACCCCCTTCTCCTGCTCCAGTTTCCAGCTCAATGATCCTGTTTCCAAAGTAACAGAAACTGCCCAAAGGCGAGCATGCTCCTTGGTGGGACACCCACAGGCAGTTAGAAGGCAGAGGGCCTCAGTTCCAGGAGAGAGGCGTGGGGACCAGAGAGGAAGGTCCCATGCTGAAGAATGCCTCAGTAGAGCCTGGAGCCTGAGGCCCAGGGAAGAGATGCCCAGGGCCTTACACCAGGAGGTGCCAGCCAGCAAGTGCTACAGAGACACAAGGTGGGGAGTGCGTGTTGGGGTGGCAGTCGGGGAGTTCATGGAGGGCAGGCCAGCGTATCTGTGTTTTACAGACATGGGGGACTGAGGCAGGACACAGCCCACCAGTAGGCTGCAAGGCCCACCAGGGTGGACTCTGTTTTGAGGTCTGTCTCCTGCTACTCAGACAAAACTAGGCTCTGTGTGACTAAGCGATGAAGTCTTTACAACCTGTCCTTCCCAGGCAGGCTAAGAAGCAAGCACAGAGCTAACAAACGCCACCTCGGGCCAGCTCTGCTAGGAACCTCTGTGGTCACAAGGTGGCAGCATCCAAGGCCAATGTTGCCAGCTCTCTCCCGGCCTCCCCTGACAAAGCCTAGGCTTTCCCGAGGTGGCCAGCATGGAGGCTGGAACTTCGGCTCCGAGTGCCTGGGGCCTGGGTCAACTACAAAGCAGTGGGGACAGCCTGACTGGGGAGGGGAGGGCAGGCAGGGAGAGAACTCAAGTTCACCTGTACCCATCCCTGGCGGGTAAGAGGGCCCAGGATCTTGGGCCATTTTCCTAGTTTTAAATACTGTTCACTTTATAATTTCCAAACATTGTTTTTAAAAGGGGTTGACGGCCTTGCTCCCAGGTAGAAAATTCCTGGACCTGCCTAGTGACTTGAAAATGACAGCCCTGGGTCCGGGTGAGTGGTCTTTGGTTCCCCTGGCCCCGCAGTTTGCCATAATGGGAACTTGCCTGGGAGGCAACAGGATCTGGCTGGCCTGTTCTCACTATGTCCTGGGGATGAAGGGACCCACCTGCTGGGCTCCACTGCCCTTCAGAGCAGCTCCTGGCAGGAGGCGGGTGCCACAGCAGTGTCCCTGGCCACCTCTGCCACAGTGCCTCCCAGTCAGTCACAGAGCCCTGAGCTCAAGCCACCCTATTGTCACAGCCCTTCACAAATAGTCCCCACCATGTTCCTGTCTGCCTCTTCATCCCCAGTTCTGCTGGCCTGGCAGTACCTACAGCTTCCCGTTTGTATGTCCACTGTCCTTCCACCCCTCACCTTTAACCTGACATTTTTGCTAAGGGACAAGGCTAGAATATGGACAGGATGGGAGGAGTAGGTGGGGGAGGCGTCTGTCCTGTCCAGGCTTTGCATCTAAAGAATGGAGCTAGGACTCCCCCACACGAAGGGGGGAGAACATGATGAGAGAACACGATCCATAAGGGGCGCTCAGCGTGGTGTGGGATTCACAGCCCACCCAGGAGCTAGGAGCCAGAAAAATGGCATTTGATGGAATCAAGGCTGGCGGCCATTCCGCCCGTAGCCGCTAGAGGTCGAGCCGAGCGCCTGTCAAGCAGTCAGCCCGCCAGCCGCTCCGCCCCCAGAAGCATCATCAGGGTCCGGGCTGCTTCAGGGGTACCCCGAGATGTGTGCCCCTCGGCTGCGGCCGGGTGCCAGGGACCTCTGTAAGCTGACACTCCTTCCTCTCGTACCCGCCGCGAGGCCAAAGCGCGCCCTGCCGCACACGCACAGCTCTTCTCCGGGGGGCGGTAGGACGCCCCCCCTGGGAAGGCCTTGGGGACAAATGGCGGGTTCTGAGGGGTGCGGGCTCCGGAAAGGGTCCTCCCTGTGCTTCTCCAGCCCCCAGCCGCCAAGTCGGGGCACGGCTGAGCAACACAGGGGGGACCCCAGCCCATCAGCCCTGGGGCAGCCCCCTCCCTCAGGCAGGCCCCAGAGTCTGGCAAGATGGCTTCCGCGGGAGCTTCGCCCCTCCAGGGCCGAGGCCAGCGCGCCGTCCCCCCACCCCAACACAGACACACACCCTCACCCCGCCCCGGACAGCCAGAGGCGGGAGAGGCGGGGACGTGGGCTCGGGTCCTGTCACCGCGCGGGCGCGAGCAGGTAGCCCCCCCAGTCTCCGGGAGGCGGGACCCTGCGCCCCTCCCCGAGGTCCCCGGGCTCCCCGCGCCCCTCCCCGGGCTCCCCGCGCCCCCAGGCCCGGAGCAGCGGGCGCGCTCGGCCGCCCACCCCGGCTCCGTCCCGCCCCGCCAGGCCCCGCGCGCGCTGCAGCGCTGGGGCCCGAGAGGGGGCCCGCTGGGGCGGCGCCAGGGCTTACCTTCAGCAGGAAAGTTTTGGGCTTGGGTCCCCTCTTTTTGGGCCCGTACAGCTCACGCTCCCTCTCCCTGCGGCCGAGAAACGCCAGGCGTTACACAGCGACCCTCCCCCTCACCCCAAATCTCCGCGCGCACCCCGGGGCGCCCCAATGCCCGCGCCCCCCAACCCCCCCACCCCCCAGCTCACTTCTGCTCGAAGGCTGCGATGAGGCGCGAGTCCAGGATGTTCTCCTCGGGCTCCCAGGTGCTGTACCTGCCGGCCGGGGGTCGTGGAAGGGGACACGGGGGGCGCAGTGAGCGCCGGCGAGGCTCCGGGCGGGGAGCCACCGCGCGCGCCCCGAGACGGCCCCCTCCCCCGCACCGCACCGCACCGCACCCCCTTCGCCGCGGCCCCGCAGCACTCACTTGATCGCCCACCCCTTCCATTTCACCAGGTACTCGATGCGTCCCTGAAAAAGAAACAGCAAAAACGGGGCGATGGTGGGGTGTGGGGGGAGGCAAGAGGGAGGACGCGGGGCACCGCGCGCGGGATGCGCGAGGGTGCGGGGCCGGCGGGGTGTCGTCGCGGCCCGGGGTCCGCAGCACCCCGCAGCCGGGGGTCGCGGCTCACCTTGCGGATCCGCCGCTTGATGATGGATTCGGCCGCGAAGACCCGCTCACCCACTGCAGACAGCTCCATCTTGCTCAGCGGCACCCACAGCCCATAATACTCCCGCTCCCGCGGCCGGTGCGGCACCGCTCGCGCACGCGCCGCAGCTCCCCGGCCCCCCGGCGGGCGGGCGCGCGCCCGCGCCCCAGCTGCGGCCGTCACGTGACCCGCCCGCCGCCCGCGCCGTTGCCAGGTCCCTCCCCTTCCCCGGGGCGGTTGCTAGGGACGGGGCGCGGCGGGGGCGCGCTGCCTCTTAAAGGGCCCTCGCCCCGGGCCGTCTGGCTCGCCCGTCGCCGCACGAATGCGTTTGGGGCCGCCTTGCCAGGCCTTGCGGGGCTTTTCCTTAAAACGTCACCCCCTCCTTTTCTCCGTTTCCTAATCCATTATTTATGTGTGGTTTTGTAACCAGTTCAGAGGAGTTAAAAAGCGCCATCGCGGACAGGGTGCGTGGCGGTGGGAGGGCTCCATTCCCGCCGGGCTCTGGCCTCTCACGTTGGGGTTCCAGACCCTGGCGGGGCCGGCCGCCATGACTGCCGGAGACCCTGGCCTCCCTCTCCACCCCGGCCTTGCTTTGGGGAGAAGCTTTTTTGCACTACTCCATAGCTTTTCTCTATGTAAAAACCGTGTTAAACGCACAAGCCAAACAACGCCCCTGTCGCCGATCTCACCACGACCCGGGCCCTGGCCGGCCCCACGCGTGTTCCGGGACACGTTCCCTCGGTGGGGCCACCTGGCTTTTTCCCCCTGAGCGATGGCGTAGTTTTCCCTCATGAATTCCAGGGTCGGGCTGTCGGAGTCTGGGGTGGGGATGGGGTGGTGTCGGGGTCTTCTAACTGGAGAGATGTTTGCTGCTCCCTGCCGGCGCCGGTTCCCGAAGGTGCCAAGGATGGACCCCGTGGATCCACGTGGACGTGGCTTGTCCACTTACCACAGCCCCTCCCCTCCACCATGGTGCTGCTGTCCTGTGGACGGGTGGGCAGGTGAGCTGCGTGTGCGTGTGTATGATCATCGTGGGGCATGTGACTGTGTGTGACTGCTCGTGCTGGAGCAGACAGCAGGCAGTGGTGTTGCTTGGTCCCCTTGTTGAGTGCTTTCAAGCAGCGTTTGGGAGTTTTGGAGTTTTGATTAATCCCTCAAGAAGCCTGAGGGCTGAGGGGCCTCTTGTACGTGGACACACACACAGAGTGAGGCAGGTCCCCAGGGGGGTGGCTCCTTGGGAGAGCATCTTCCTTGGCTGACTCGGCTTCTGGAAGCTGCTGGCACTCCATGGTATGGGGACTGCCCCCTCTGCTTCTACTGCCCCTGCACTGTAGCTCCACGGTCCTGCCTCTGGTTACACTGTCACATGGGGGGCCTCCCTGTCAGCATTGCTCAGTTAATCGTCAGCATTGCTCAGTTAATTGTGGCAGCCAACTCACTTTCCCTTGCTAAGAAGGGTTCTGGTGGGTGGAGATAGGACATGCCCAGCACTGCATGGTGGGGGGCTAAAGGCCAACTACAGGCTGCCTTGGCTGTATGAGCTTGGGGCAACCCCGCTGCCTGCGGGAGAGTCCTGGAGGACTTCTCAGAGGCGGGGACATCTGATGGGGGGTTGGGAAGGGCATCCGGGAGGGGATCAGCTGGAAAGGCAGCCAGGGTGAGCACAGATGTGTGCATCCTGGGACCCAGCAAGCTAGGCCAACATCGCAGCATGGAGTGGCAGGGTGGGCTGTTGGATGACTTGGTATTCAGCAGAGGGGGTTGGAGAGAGATGAAGCAGGCCTGTGGTGCCCAGGATGGCACCTGTTCTGCCTGCTGGCAGTGTGGCATCGTGGGAGCCCTTGCCCTCTTTCTGCCTTTCAGTTTCTCAGCCTCAGCCTGACTGAGCATGGCGGCTCACAATGTCGGAGCTGATGATGACTCTGTGACTGTCCTGGGGCCAGAGCTGTGGCATAGCAAGCAAAGCTGCTGCCTGTGGCACTGGCATACCAGATGACACTGGTTCAAGTCCCGGCTGCTCTACTTCTCATCCATCTCCATGCTAGTATACCTGGGAAAGCAAGAGAGTATGGCCCAAAGCCCGGGGACCCTGAATTTTGGAAATGGGGAAGAAGTTCCTGGTTCTGGCTTCAGACCAGCTGAGCTCTGGCTACTGGAATCATTTGGGGAGTCAATCAGCAGATGGAAGATCTCTCTGTAACTCTACCTTTCTCTGCCCCCCCACCCCCATTCTCTCTCTCAAATGTGCTGTCTTGATTCACTCAAAACTCTCTCTGAGGTTTGTGGAGCCCCACCCCCAAAGACCTTCTCCACTGGGTGAGAGACATGCCCTGTGCCCTGGTGGTTTGTAGCTCCGAGCTTCAGCCTGATGCCATGGTGTGGGGGGCAAAGCTGATGGTTCAGGGACCTGGAGCTCAAGTCACCATGGTTCCTGAGATCCCTCTCAGGACTCCGGCCTCCATCCCACTGCGGGCTTCTCTGCCAGGGTCTTACCCAAGACCATGGGTTTCAGCGCTAGGTCCTGGCAGGGCCTCCTCCTCCTGCAGCAGTAGCTCAGGCTGCAAGAGAACAGTCTCGCCTCTCCCAACCCCTCCCACCCGCTGCCGGCTGTGGCCATGGCCTTGGCCTTCTGGGGCTCCTGCCACAAGACTCAGGGTGTGTGCTGAGGGGAAGGCCAGGCCGCAGGTTCCTGTCCACTTCCTCTCCCTGCGCAATGCTCACTGCTTGACGTGCCCACTGTGCTGGGGTTGATGAATCAGAACATAAAAGGCTTCCGCCGCTGTCACCAGGGTCTCCAGCCAGCCACCCTGACTCCCGTGGTGGGGGGAGCGTGTGTCCTGGCCTGACCTCATCGGCTGAGCTCTTTACAAGAAGGCCAGGGGTGAAGCAGCACACCTGCTCTGGGGCCAGCCAACAGGGCAGAGGGCCCTGTAGCAACCACAGTGGGCAGCGCTGGGGAGCCAAGGGCCTCTGTCACCAATCCACTGTCGCAGAACTGGTGACTCAAAAGAGGACAGGACTCCAGTCCGCACCTCTGCTGCAGCCTGTGTGGACAACAGGGGAACTACACTTGGACTTGGGACCCCAGAGACCGAGGGGTACACAGGTGACATGCTTCATTATAGAACACTAGAAAACCCACAGGAGGGCTTCACAAGTTCATAGGAAAGAGTATTATGTAAAAAATGCATAGTATTATATAAGATATGGAATTCAACTTTTGTGTACCTAATGTAACCTGAACATTTCATCCCATTTTCTGTGAAGCTAAAAAGTTATTTATTTAAATATGTGAAAGGTAGAGAGATACAGAGGTCTCCTGTCTGCTGGGTTACTGCCAAATGCCTGAACCAGCTGAAGCTGTGTCAAGGCCAAATCTAGGACCCAACAGTTCTCACAGGTCACCCACATGGGTGGCAGGGAGCTGGGCTGGAGAGCTGGGCTGGGATTTCAACCCAAGGCCTATGAGATGGGATACAGGCGTCCCAAAGCTGCTGTGTCATATGTCCATGAAATAGTTTTTTTTTTCTTCCAGAAATTATTTATTTATTTGAAAGGCAGGGAGAGAGAGAATGAAGAAACATTGGGATGGGGAAGTAGACCCCATGCCTGGAGGGGAGGACACAGTAAAATGGAGATTCTGGGTTACCAGTGTCACAAGGCAGAAGCTGAGGGAATTCATGGTCCAGATGTACCTGCCACCAGGGCACCTGTGCAGTTCCGGGCTTTGTGACCTCCAGCAGCTAGTATGTCTGTGTCCCCTACATGCAACATGGGGAGGCAGATCAAAGTGCCAAAAACTGGGTGGTCAGGGGTGAGGGACGCGGGGCAGGCGGCTTTGTCTCAGGCTTGCTTTGTGCGCTGGGCAGCGGGGGATGTGCTCAGACTCTCTCTGGAGGCTTTGGGCTAAGACCTGGAGGAGAATGTCTGTAACTCTTGCTCAGTCAGATTCAGCCACGCACCCTGTCAGGAGTGGACCATCCTCTTCCTGGTGGCAACCGGCAGTGCAGACTGGAACAGGAAGCTGTGGAGGCTTGGGGGCTGCAAAGTAGAGTGACCAACTCCAGACACTTGTTGCTGTCACGTGGAAGCTGTATACAGATAGGTGCTGTGACAACAGCAGACTGTGCTGGCCACACACACGGGCCACCATGTGTCTATCTCTGTCCCACATGGGGTACTTAGCAAGGAATGCTGGGGACAAGTGAGTGACAGAGGATGGGAAGCTTAACAGGGCACTAGGGCCTCCTCTCATATGGGTGGTGGCCCCAGCATGCTCCTGCAGGGGACTTGGCTGGGAACGTGCTCCCCGATTTTTGTCCCTTCCCGTTAGCACTCCCAGAGGGGAGTGGAAGGAATGCTCGCTCCCAGGCATCAGCTGCTTGGATCTTATGTACAAAGTGGTTTCCATGGCCCTGTGGGTGGCTTTGGAAGGAACAAGAGCTGGAAGAAAAAAAGCACCTGGGTGTGGGAGTCGGGGAGGGAGACAGGGAGAACAGCTCTTGCACTGGCTCTACGATGCTGTGGGTCAAACCAGCGCTTGCAACACCAGCATTCCACTTTAGAGCACCAGTCCTGGCTGCTCCATTGTCAATCTGGCTTCCTGGTACTGTCCAGCAGGAGATGGCCCATGTGCATCTTGAACAAAAAACTGAACAAATCTTTGGGAAGAGAGAGAGAACAGCTCTTGCTGTCCAGGGCTGAGCTGCTGCCACAGCTGGCCCATGGAACTTCCTGGGCTCTGTGAAGGCGGTACTTGCCCCTAGCCCCAACCTAGGCCTTTGGCACCTGCTGTTCCCTTTGCCTTCCTCAGCTCTTCTTGTCTCTGTTCCCATATCACCTCTTTAGCAAGCTTTTCTCCCTGAAGGAAAAAGCTATCCTCGCTTCTCACCTTTTCCCTCCTGGCCCTTCATGGCACCTGCAGCTGAAGGGACGGTTCATGGTGATGGTGTGTTAGACACCTGGCTCCCTCTCAGACCCTTCTCTCCACAGTGGGGGCAGGGGCACAGCAACTTGCACCTGATTCTCACTGTAGCTCCAGGACTCACACAGGGCCCTGTGCATAGTAGGTGTCTCAGGACTAGGTGTTGGCTGTGCGGATGAGCCCGTGTGAGGAATTGCC